CTGGAGGGAAGCGGGCTGCTCCTGAAGGAAGCAAAGGCACCCCACCCCCCGGGGGGGGGGGTGGGAGTGGAAGAAGAGACCACAACTCCTGTTCCAGGCCAGCCCAAGCTTGTCCTGCTGGCTGCCCATTCTCCTGCTCTGACCTCTGCTCTCCTGGGCCTGGGGCCAGGCAGCTGCCCTCCCTCTCCTCCACGCCGGCTGGGTCAACCACAGGATGTGCACGGAGAGGGGACAGGCCCTACCTTCCCACACTGAGGCCTCAGGCAAGGTCCTTTTACAGAGGTTGGCCTTCTGCCCCCGTCCCCCAGAGCAACCACAGAGCTTTGGGCTGGGGCCTCTCCTTCCAGCCTGGATACCCCCTACTGCTGAGGCTGCCAGTGTCTCCTGTGCCCTAGGAGTCAAACCACATGCCACCCCTCCCCAACCCCACCCAGCTCCAGAGAGCCTCAGGACAGCCCGACAGGCAGTGCTGTCCAGTGGTCCCGCCTCACAGCAGCCCCAGGACAGAGTAGAGCTGCTCGCAGGCCCCCTGACGCTCAGCTGCACGGCAGCAGGCTGCCAGGGCTTTCTCCATAGAGCCCCTGAAAAGTCCAACGACCAACTCACTGCCAGGGAGTCACGTTTGATGCACAGCGACCCTACTGGGCAGGGTAGAACTGCCCCTGTGGGTTTCTCAGACGACAGCTCTTTACAGGAGTAGAAAGCCTCATCTTTCTCCCAGAATGCAGCTGTTGGTTTTGAACTGCTGACCTCAAAGTTAGCAACCCAATGCATAATCACTACGCCACCAAGGCCCACAACCACCGACTGTCATCAGTGATGGAGAGCTGAGCCATCATGGCCCCAGGTCCCTTGCACATCCTGCAGGCCTGTTTTACTGGCAGCTTCTACCCCACTGTCAGAGAAGATCCCCGCAGAGGGCCCCAGTCACACCAAGACAGAGGAGCTCTCCACTCCCTGCCCCGCCTGCCCAGCTCTCAGGGCCCCTTCTAGCCTGATTTCTTGGAGGGACCCCCTACCAGCCAGGCTCCTTATGCTGAAGGCCCTCTGCCCCAAGACTCATGAGATCTGTCTTGCTGGGGGCAGGCCTGGCGGGAGGACACCATCACCTGACTTAGCTGCTGTCCTTCTAGTGACGTGGAACAGGCCAGCAATGACTCACCTGCCACCATGACAGCAGGGACCCCCTGGCTGCCCCAGCCTCTCATCCTAGAAGCCTCAGCTGGGCAAGGGGAATGCAGAGGTGGTGCGTAGTTAGCTTCTCACCCCTTCAAAGCCCTTTGTAACCTCGGCTGGGTCTGCCTGGAGTGCACGCCCCTGCTTTGCCCCACTGCCCAGAGGGGGTCAGAATCCTCTTTCCGGGGAGAAAGGAAGCAGGCTAGGACTGGTCCAGCTGTGTGCCTTTTCTCCCCGGTCAAAGCCTCCAGCAGGCAGGGAAAGCCTCCTTCTTCCCCTCACCCAGCTGCCTCCAGGGCCCCAGAAAGCCATCGCGCCATTCCTCCCCTCACTCCCTCACTCGGCCTCACTAGGGGAGAGGGAGCTCCAGCTGGTCAGCCTCTCCCTCCAGGAGAAGACAGCTGGGGAGTGCAGGGCCGGCTTCCCGCCAGGCTGAAAGAAGAGGCTTGGGGGTGGGGCAGTCTGCACTCCTCTGCCCAGAGGCTCGCTCTCACCCTGTGCCTTCAAGATTCAGCTAGGGTAGGGCCCACCAAAGTCTCAGCCCAGAGTTTTGGAGGCCACTTCCTGCAAAACGCCTGCGGAGCCCAGAGCAGCCCCTAGCCCTCTGCTGTGCCCTCTGGCGCCACCTGCTGGAGCATCATGGCTTGCGTCCAGGATATCCGAACCTCAGCTCTGAGGTTGGGGGTCCTGGGGCTGTGGAGGGGGTGCCCTAGCAGGGGCTCCCATGAGTGACTGGTCACAGTACCTGGGATCAAACACTCTGGAGTCTTGCAGCCTCTTGCCCAGGGTAGGAAGTGAAGAGAATCAGATCAGCCTTGACCTCAGCAGGCCATCCCTCCTGCCTCAATTTCCCCGCTGCACTCAGGATAACGAGGTGAGCTACAGTGGGTCTAACCTTTCCCTCCATAAAATCCTTCTCCTCCTCAGGGGTTCCCAGCAGTGAAATCCCCCACCTGCTTCCAGACACCCAAGCACACCCACACTGACCACTCCGAATGCAGCCCAAGAGACAGTGCGGGAGGAAAGCCATCAGTCAAGCCCACACTCACAGGTCCAGCAAGCCCCACCGTCAGCCCAGACATAACAGTGCAGCCAGCGAGGGAGGAAGGCTGGGGACACGATGGCCCACCGTGACTTTACAGGGCCCACAGTTGGGGCAACACGACCTGGGTGATTGACATGTGGATTGGCAGGCCCAGTGGGCACTGGAGGCCATCGTCCTGGTACACCGCCTCCTCCCACCTGCTCCAGGCTGGTAGCTCTGAGGCCATTGGCACTTGGGAGATGTGGGAGTGAGAGTCCCAGCCAAACTCTGCAGAGAGCACCTGGCTCCAAGCAGGTGCTGTCCACTGGGGTGGTGGCTTACTCACCAAGGACAGAAGCCTTTGGGGCTCTGCTTCCCACCCCACCAGCTTCATTCCCAGGGTGGCCTCTCCCGTGAGACCTGTCACGGAACAGACCAGACCAAGAGGTGGCCTCAGACTGGACCCCTAAGAGACTCTCCCAAGTCACACAGCAAGGGAGTGCCCCGTCTGGCTGGAAGGCGAGTCTCCTGGACTGAGAATGACCACCTGAGTCCCCAGGGGAGAGCGAGAACACAGCCTGCCCACAGGCTACTACTCAGCTTGGCACCCACAGTGGGCTGTGCCATATGGGCCAGCAGGTACCAGGCCGGGGCAGTCTCCACCCTTCTCCCTGCCACCCACCACGCTCTGCTCTGAGGCAGGGAGCAAGAGCCGACAGCTAGCGCCTCCACTGAGACAGGCTGCTGGCCGCTCCCCGGTCAAGGCGCATCACATGCCGTCACCATGAAATCGGGCATCTCACTCAGGGCCTGCGGCCACCTCCACTCCAGCCACCGGCTCCGAGTGGTCGCTCTAATCCTGCCTGATCCTAGAGTCCTCCTGATGCTCTGGCCCCTGGTCCCTCTGTGGCAGCTGCCCCAGACCTCTCTAGGTACTGTCTACACCACCGCTGAGAGGGTCTCACTGCAGCCTGGCATCATCTGCTGACACCGGGCCTGGATGAAAGCTAACCAGTGGGCACTCGCTGTCTCTCACACGAGAGAGTGGAGGCGGCCTTAACCAGTGTGTGTGAACACTTCAGTGAAAGCCCTCACTCCCCAAGAAGCCCATTCCAGTCAGCCCGGCAGCTCCACAGCAAAGAAGGCGCTCAGAATGAAGCACAGTTGACCTCTCCCCAAGAGTCCCAACCCCCTCCCAGCTGGGGCCCACTATAGGTCAGCTGTGCCTGATGGCAGCCTTCACCCCAAAATAGGCCCGATGACCCCTGTGCACCCCCTGGGGAGGGCCTGTCTTCTCCTTCCTTGTTAGAGGCCACACTGGAGCCTTGGGGCATCCTCCTCTGTCCTAGAAAGGGCGTCATGCCTGGAGACTGGGGCCCATGTTCAGGATTTTCAGAATATGTAGTATGGTTCCTTCAACCTACACACACACCCCTTCTTCCATTACATCCCCTTGCCCATACGTCTACAGGCTGAGGGATCCCCCTGATGCAGCCCCTAGGAAAGGCTTCCCCTAGTGTCGCAGGGGCTGACCTGAGTCTGAATCCCCCTGCCGGTTGGTGCCCGGGTGGAATGGATGCAGAAGGAAGAAAAGCCAGCAGGTGGGAGTTAACCCAGACAGACCCCACAGAGGAAGGAAGGTGCGTGAAAGGATGGGTGGGCAGGCTGGAGACCTTGGCCACCTGCGGGCCAGGGGAACTTCAGCCATGGCTTTGTGGTAGAGTGATGGGGCAGTTGGAAGCTGGCTAGGGGCTCCAGGAATGAGGGGGCTTGAGAAGAATACACATGTAAACTGTGGGGCCTCACCAGAGGGCTTTTTAAAGATTCGAGAGACCTAAGCCTGCTTCAATGGCGATAGGGGGAACCTGGAGAAGGTGGCAGACAGGAAAGGGTGCCGGTGAGGCTTCCCAGGGTCCTGGTAGCAGAGGCAGAGGTCCAGGCCATTGATGATAGGGCCTGAAAGGCGGTAAGGCCTTTGCCATTGGCACAGGTTGGGGGTGGAAACCATGTTGAGGCATGTGGGCGTCGAGGAGGAGGAGGAGGAGGAGGAGGGAGGAGGAGGAGGAGGTAGGCCATCTGCCCAGAAAGGAGGCTGGAGGCTGGGGGCGGGGGATGCTGACGATGGAGAGGTGGGCTACCCACCCCGGTGGGAGTGCTGTGAGAGGCCAGCTGGGCATGCCTGGCCAGCAGCAGGAATTACCCACCCATTGACCGATGGCTTCCCCAGACTGCTCCCAGCATGGGGTGGGGGAGGGGGGTTCCAGGCTGGGGGGCTGCCAGCCGGCGGGCGGGCGGGACCATGAGTGAGGCAGCCAAGAACACTGCAGATATTGGCAGAAGAGCGCTGGAGAGATGGACCAGGGAACCTCAGCTGGAGAGATGGACCAGGGAACCTCAGCTGGAGAGATGGACCAGGGAACCTCAGCTGGAGAGATGGACCAGGGAACCTCAGCTGGGGAGGGAAGCAACGGAAGACAGAGGGGCAGCAGGGAGGAAGCAAGGCGTGGCGTCCTGCCGAGTCCGGAACCCGTGTCCGTGTCCACATGGGACGGAGAGTGGGCTGGAGGGTAGAGCGGGGCGCCTGTGCCTGACTCAGCCGTTTCAGGGGTGGCGCGATTCCAGGTGGTGACACAGCCTGGGGCTGCCCCATGGGGGAGGCTGAAGTAGAGGGTGGAGGAAGAGCCGAGCCAGTCACTTGAGAAGACGAGGTCATGGAAGGTGCATCCACAGGCTCAGACGGCAGCCACGTGGCTCTCCGCGAGACAGCGCAGGGGCCTGGGGCCACACTCGCCATGAATGGATGGGCGGGGAGTGGCTGGTCTGGACCGTCTGCCACAGGAATAGTGCTTGGCTGCTTGAATCCACTTGGTGCTCACAGCCAACCTCCAGCAGAGAGTTGGCACCCGGCCATGCTTGCTTGGAACCCTCTCCAGTTTCACAGCCTGGCTGTGCTTCTGAGGGCACCGAGGCGGGCCGGGGGGCTGGTGGCACAGAAGGGGCAAGTGGGCAGTGGGACTGCTGACCTCTGGCCATAGGCATGAGTTGGCTTCTGACGCTGGCCAAGCAGGCGGGGCTAGAGTTGGCACCAGGAAGTGAGGGTACCTTGCACATGAATTGCAGGTGAAAGCTGGGCTCAGGCAGTAAACACACTGTTTCCTGGTATGTCCTCGACTCTGACCTTGAGGCAGGGGACACACGGGACCAGGCTAGGGATCGGATGACTACGGTGGTGTGCACAGTTGCCCCCCACATGCTGCACACGAGTCACCCCTCCCTCGCCCTCTGGCCTAGTAGGACCATGTCAGCAATGCGAGTCCAGCCAGCAGGGAGCCTCCAGGGAAGGAGGCCTCTGGCCAGGGGCAGGCCGGCAGCCCAGCCTCTGCAGAGTGGAGTCCTTCTGGATGCACCTCTCATGATCCTGAGCAAGAGGCTGTTCCCCTGCTAGGGGCGGGAGGCAGGCCAGACAGCAGGCATCTACCCTGTTCTGGTGGTGGTGGTGTGTGTGGGTGTGTGTGTGTGTGTGTGGGGTGCCTGGAAATGTTTTGCCACGGCACACATTCACTGTCACTTGGAGAAGCCAGCCACCCATCCCATCTCTGCTCGCCACCCATGTGGGGCAGCCACCTGGCCAGAGGCCAGCTCTTTGTCCGCCAGGTCCTGGCTCCTGAGCCCTGGGCTGGCCCTGCAGAGGGCTGTCTTCAGCTCCAAAGACACACATGGCTAACAGAGGCAGCTCTATCCCTGAGGCCGCCCGCCTGTGGGCCCCAGGGTCAGCCCCTCTTCCCGATTCTCCAGGAGCTGAGCAGGGGCAGGGCTGTGCCAAAGGGTCAGATAATGGGGAGCTGGAGAGCCAAGGGTCTTAACATGGCGCCCTGCCCATCCAGGCTCCTGGGGGCTGAGGGCTGAGTTGGGAAAGGGAGCAGGCATTTGGTTTCCTCCCATCCCTCCCTGAGACCCAGGTCAGCAGGCCTGGGAACCCTGCCCATGCCTTAGCCTCAGCTCATGAGAGGGGACAAGGACCCTCATCTCTCCTGGCCTCTGATGCCACCACAGCTGCTAGAAAAGGGGTTTCAGCCAGCAGCCCAGCATGGGTCACCCTGAGCAGCAATGAGGCTGCTGGGAACCCCGTTTTCCTGGAGAGTGGCCTGGCTCCCGCAGGTGGGGGCACACTCACGTAATAAAGTCCAGGAAGCTGGCAAGAGGCTCGTAGGCATGGTTCCTCATGTGGCGGAACTCCACCACCATCTTCTCCTTGAGGCGGTCGTCGATGACTGACACCGTGAGCGGGGAGGCCTCGTTAGCCAGGAAGTTGCCGTAGTCTGTACTCTGCAGGTGCAGCTTCAGGTCTGAAAGGGCAGGGTAGAGGTGAGTGCTGGCCTCCCGAGCCGCCCCAAGGGCCCTAAAGCCCAGTCCCAAGACCCCTCTGGACCCATCCCTCCTCTGGGATCTGGCCTGGCTACCACTCTGCCCTTCTGCTGCCCTCCTGCCTCCTGCTGGCTCAAGGCCTACTCACTCAAGAGCAGCCAGGCCAAGGTCCTGGAGATGCCTCAGCCCTGGACTGTGAGCCAGCCCGGGCCGAGGGTCCAAACCAGGACAGAACGAGGCCTGAGCACAGCGGCCCAGGCCCTGGAGAAGCCTCTGCAGGGCAGCCCCAATCTCACAGAATGGATCCTGGACCCTTCCTCTTGGAGACAGCTAAGCAGTGGGAACCCCAAGAGCAAAGGGCAGAGAGGAAGGGGACGGCATGCCAGGTTGGGCCTGGCCAAGGCAGGGACTGGATATGGAACCATCCTGCAGGCGGTGTGAGTGAGGAGAGCTGGAAGGGAGGAAATGGGTTTCTTCGTGGAAAGGCAGCAGGCCTAACCTGACAGTTCTCTCCTGAGCTCTGGGGCAAGCAATGGGGAGGAGAGGGCAGCAGGGTCCTGAGGAGGCAGGAGAGTGAGACCCAGTGGGATCCCAGGGAACCATCAGGGGGTCTCCTGCTCTGCCCTGGATTGACTTGGTGTTTGTCACTCCCCTTGCTGCCCAGTCTCCCTTTAGCTGTGCCTGAGGAGCAACGGTCACTTCCACCCTCCAATGTACCCTCCTCAAAGGCCTTGTCTGTAGCCCCTCTGACTAGGATGCCCACGGGCTCCACATGGCGAGGTGGTAGGGTCCCGGGGGAAGAGCCTGTGCTCCAGGACATGCACATGCTTCTTAGATGGTACAGGGGGGTGGGGGGAAGCTGGGAAGACGGGGGACCCAGAAGGCGGGAGTGTGTGTCTAGCTCTAACAGCCAAAGCCGGCTTCTGCGGCCCAGAGACTCTGTTCTTCTATCCCAAGGAGGCTCCTCAAAGGATGACAGGAGGGGCCAAACCGTAGGCATTCCCACACCCCGCCTGCCCAAGCTGCTCCCTGTTGTCATGGGAATCCAGAGGGCCATGCCCTCCTGAGCAGGAGGGACATACAACTCCAAAGCCTCGGAGGACCTCCATGCACCCCTTTCTTCTGGTACTCCCTAACAAGAGAAGGATGGAGAGACAGATGAGCAACAAGAGATGGACAAAAAAACAGGGGGAGGGGGCCATGCAAGCAGCCCTGCCTCCACGTCCTCTCTGGAGGTACTCTTGGCCTTGGGGCTCCCAGACGCTCAGTGGTCATCCTCTCAGGCCAGAAGAGGAAGCTGCTGGGCCACCGTCACTTCCCAAAAGCAGCTGGTGTGAGAGGGAGAAGCCACGAGCCCCCGAGTCACTCCCCACAAACCTGAGTGCCCGGGACACAGTTGCGTCCTTGTCCCAGGTGTGCTATCGGCTGCCTCCTTCTGCCCTGTGCTTGCCCCTGCCCAGCTGACAGGAGGCTGGCCCGAACCCAGCAGGTGCTCCTTCCCCTCAGGGTGAAGCTGCAGGGTGGACAGCATTTGGCAGTTAGAGCCGGAAGGCAGTGCTCTGGGCCAACAGCTGCCAGCCCAGACCTGTCCGTTGAACAGGCCAGCCACCCGGTGTGCAACCCTCTGGGCCAGGGAGCCGTCTTCCAGCTCACAGCCCGGCACTGAGGGCCTCAGGCCAAAACCCAGTCCTTTCGGCAGGGCCCTTTCCTTATTTCACCACGGCCCTGCAGGACAGCAAATGCAGTCTCCTGGTTCCTCCCCAAAGCCTGCCACCACTGCCCTGCTGAGCCCCGGGCCCACATGCTGTCGCTCCCACTCGGTCTCCTCATATGCGTTCCACAGAGCACAGAGCGAGGTATCCTCTGGCCCAGCCAAGACCCAGTCCTGACTAGGTGTGAATCATCGCCCCCACAAGCAAGGGGAAAGCAAGCCAATTCCAAGTGGTGGCGCACAGCCGGCTGCCTCCCCAGCCCCGGGGCGGGAGCAGCCCACAGCCACGCCTGGTCAGCACTCAGGGATGAGAGGTGGAGGCAGCCTCGGCCAGCATGCACATAGGGCTGGTGGGTCCTCCCCTCATGTCCCATCCAACCTGTGCTCCTGATCACAGCTTTCCACAGCCCTAGACCCTGGACCAGCCTGTCAGATACAGGCCCAGTTGCCCAGACAGCCAGGAAGAGCAGGCAGCTGCAGAGGCCAACAGCATGTCCCCTCCCAGCCCACCTGCCAGGGACCCTGGCCGTCACGGCTCAGGGCAAGCCCCTCTGGCAACAGCTGGCTTCAGTTCTGAGAGAAGCTGCCAGTGTTCACCTGGGCATGCAGGCCGAGCTGAGGAGGGCTCTCCTGCACACACCCCCAGCTGGGGCCCAGCACGGGCCAAAGAGCACCCCCTCTGGGGCTGGCTGCTCCTTCTGCTGACACTGCATCTGGGCCTGCAGCTCGGGGCGGCCGGGAGTGGGGTGGGGGTGGGGGGGGGCGTGGGTTTCCGCTAGCGTTTGTCAGATGAGAGCAAGCCCCGGAGACTCCTCTGAGAACCCTGCTTTACCAGGAAGCTTGCTTTTAAAAGGCCCCAGGGGCTGTGTCAATGCACCCTTCCAGAGCACTTTCCCTGGCCAACCACATCTCCCTGTGACCTGGGAGAGGGGACAGCTGCCAGCTGATCCCTTGGCTTGCCCATGAGGGGCCCACACAGAGCTTCTGAACCGTCCCTGACCCTACCCAAGAAAGCTGGCGCCCAGACCTGGTGGCTGGCAGCCCTGGCGCCCTCAGCCCCAAGCCCATAGACAGTCCTCAGGCTGGGACAGGGCAGGGCAGGCCCCTCCCTCCCGCCCTCCCCGCCCCCAGATTCCTGCTCTCTGAGGGACTCGGAGGAGGGATGGAGGGGTGTGAGTGGGGGCAGGGTGTGAGCCAGGAGAAGAGGCCTGGAACTTGTTGAGAGCTTCGTGGGAGACCTGGCCACCCAGCCCTGGCCCAGCCCCCGAGGGCAGCCGAGGACGGCAGGGGCTCTGCTCTGTGCCCTGGGCTCGGACAGCCTGACAGCCTGAGATGTGCCCAGGCTGAGGTAGGCGCGGTGTTCTGGATAGCAGACTTGGGGGAACCGCTCAGCTCTGCCCACAAGTCCAGCTGTCTACCACAAATCCTCTCCCCCCCACAAGCCTGGCTGAGCCCCAGAAATGTCCGGCCAGTTCGGGCTCTCTGACAGCAGAGTTCTCAAGTTCAAGAAGACAATGCCGCTGCTATCAGCACCCGCCCTGCAGCCTGACCTCAGCCTCTCGGAGGAAAGGGGCCGACTGACTGACTTCCCAGCATCTCCAGCCTCCGAGCTGGGCCTTGTCGTATTCCCCAGCAAACCTGCCCCACCCAGGCCCTTCCCACACTTCCTCTGCCTTCCGGGGCTGGCAGGAGCCTTGGGCTAGCGCTGCAACCCGGAGATGATGGTGACTGCCCTCGGCTCCAGCTCCAGGCCTCCTGGAGCCCCACATTCTTGGCCTTGGTTCCACGCCTACCAGAGTGATGTCCTCCAATTCCAAAGGTGCCTCTGTCACCTTTACCTAGTAGCCCTGGAGCCTAAGCTCTGCTCTGCCATAGCTTGTGGGGCCTCGGCCTGCCACTCTCTGGTCTGCCAGCACTGCTCAGGGAGAGCAACTCTCTGCTCCTGCCTTCTCTGTGCTCAGTGAGTGCTCCAGGGAAGCCTCCAGAAGGTTCCAGGGGGAACGCTCAGTGCAGAAAACAGAGCTGCTCCCTTAGGCCCAGAGAGAGGGGCTGGGTGGGTGGGTCCACCCCCAACTTGGATGCAGGGGCCCTGGCCGCTCTCCTTGTCAGCACTGCCTACCCTGGAGCCACCTGTACCGAAACCATCACCCGGTTCCAGCAGGGCCCAGCTGAGCACTCTGAAGATGGGGCATCGGCCACACCCGACTCCAGCTGGCCTGAAGCACCCACCTAGCCCTGCCTACCCGTCATCCTTCCAAGGGGCCGCTAGTCACCTCTGGCTCCGCTTCTCAGCCCCACCCCAAGGGGTGACCTGTCAGTCCCTCACGGGCTCCCAGGGTCAGACCCCACCAGGGCTTCTCCAGCCTCACACCAAAGGTCTCAGGAAGGAAGGGTCCTAGCCCACACCGGGGGGACCCACAGTGCCCTGGCAAGCAGAGAGGCAGCGCCTGGCACAGCAGGCTTGGTGGGGCGGCCCCCTGGCCCACAGAGGGGTTCTGCTGGCCAGCTGGCCCCGGCATCCTGTGAGAGGACAGTGTGTTCCCAGACTCCACTTCTGCTTCTCCAGAGGTCACTCGGCGACGCTCTCCTGGGGAGCCCAGGGGTTTTCAGGAATTGCGGCCCGCTGAGTGGAACCAGATGTGAGAACACTTTCCCTGGAGCCTGTGTGCCCAGCCTGCCTGCCACTCCCGGCCAGGCGAGAGGGCTGGACCCTGTCCCATCCCTCCTGTTGGCCCAGGTGAGGGGTCTGCTGGGCGTGGGCTCCTCGGCCCCTGAGGCTCTGACACAACCTCCTGAGGCTCCAGGCAGGCGAACTCGACGGCTGGTGGGCTGGTGGGCTGGTGGCCTGTGCAGTGCCAGAGCCCCTCCCTGGCGAGTGGGCTGCGTCTGCGTCTACTCCCCGGGCTCTCAGGCAAGAGCTTCGCAGCATCTCCAAAGCAGATGTGCACATGGGCTGGCTAGATCAGAGGGTCAGTGTGGGAGTCTCGGCAAGGACACCATTAACCCCAGCATCCCTGGGGCCTGCAGCGCTGGCTGAATGTCTTCCCTAGCTCCCAGCCTCTGCCAGGGCCCATCACAGGCTCCCAGCAAACCTCACGCAACACTAGCTAAATGGACAACCGGAGTTCCAGCTTGTCCTCCCCCCCATTTCCCACCCCAACTGCCTGCCATCCCCCAGCCAGGGCCTCAGCACCTCCCCGCTGGGCTGTCTGCAGCTCCCAAGCCACACCAGCACAAGCCTACCCATCCTCTCTGCCAGACCCCCGGCTG